ACCATGCTACATAACCTGCAGACTAGAGTACATAGTAAATTGTATAGTGTACATGTACTGTAGTACTAATAATCATGATAATAGTTAAAGGGGAAGTATACCCTAAAATCAAATTTTCACCAGTTGTAGTCTTCGGGGTGCTGAGTCGAATGGTCTTGGTCCGAGGAAGCTGAGACGCTCCCTTCCTACTTGAATCCCAATCGAACTCGCGCACTTCCACCGAAACTGGGTGACTGCGCCCTACGAGATGGGGATTTGTATGCAAAATGTCACTAAAAGCGCCATTTCGTTCTTATAAAAGCACGGATGACCGCGATTGGCCCATATGTTGTAGTCTTTTGGACGCTGAGTCGACTGGTTTTGGTCCGAAAAGGCTGCGATGCAGCGTTCCTCCTTTATTCCCAATCGAACATGGTTGAACAAGCGGTCACGTGCTCCTGCGTACACCAGTCACCTGGTCACCGTGCCTGCAGGGTACAACTTACTAGCCTGTTTGACCTTTTTTGGGTGCACTCCTGTCACTCGAGTTGAACTCGAGTTGAACCTTGGTGTGAAAGTTGTCGCCTGCTGGGGCGGTGACCAGGTGATTTGGGCACCCAGGAGCACGTGACCGCTTGTTCAACCATGTTCGATTGGGAATAAAGGAGGAACGCTGCATCGCAGCCTTTTCGGACCAAAACCAGTCGACTCAGCGTCCAAAAGACTACAACATATGGGCCAATCGCGGTCATCCGTGCTTTTATAAGAACGGAATGGCGCTTTTAGTGACATTTTGCATACAAATCCCCATCTAGTAGGGCGCAGTCACCCAGTTTCGGTGGAAGTGCGCGAGTTCGATTGGGATTCAAGTAGGAAGGGAGCATCGCAGCTTCCTCGGACCAAGACCATTCGACTCAGCACCCAGAAGACTACAACTGGTGAAAATTTGATTTTAGGGTATACTTCCCCTTAATACAGCAGCACTTTCCAATGAGTCATGCAGTGCGGCCTATGACTGAGTATCAAGAGTCATAACCTACTCAGTACTCTTGCTGAGTATGAGGATTCGGGCCAAAGATCATCGTGTTCACCACCTGCACACGTATCCATGCACCGCGTATACGCGTCCCGCGTACCGTACCGATACGCGATCCATTCAATTCACTCACCCACGACCACGTGGGCCGGCCGTGGTATGGGCAGCAACTACTCTAACTAATTACTTTTTACTACAATTTTAGTTGCTTCTATTTTTTGAAACACATAATTGTTGTTACGTGACACCTTTTCCTTCGAGCTTCTGCAGCAATCTGAGTCATTGTGAAAGATATACCGGCCCTGCTGGGTAGTGTTCTTGTTGTTGTTTACTGTATTTACACTTTCCCTTGAATTTACAAACGGTAGCGTTTGGAAATCAAGTGTGAATTGTCGGAATCCTAGAATGGAAAAGCTTTTGCTGAGACTGTTTGGTGACACACTTCCCTTTGTATAGCATGCTCAGTTTCACAACTCCTGGCCTACTATAAATCGTATTCTTCACAATGGCCGACTCAAGCGCAGACAACACCTCTCAGCGAGAAGAGGAGCTGGATGTTCTTTCTTCCATCTACCCATCCTCGCAATTCCAACGTGTTCCTGGAGAATACGCTGGTGTATGCTACGCATCACCTGATTTAGATGATGGAATAATGGTGCAGTTCACTGAAAAGGACGATCAGCCATCATCGCCTTCGCGTTTCTCAGACCTGTCGTTGTCACATTTACCGGACATCGCGCTGACGTTTCAGCTACCAGAGACCTACCCAGAAACAACAGGCCCTGAGTACACGCTAGCCTGCAAATGGCTTACTCCACAACAGGTATGTGTGATTTTTGTGTAGATCTACCAAAATCTGAGCAGTCTCGTTACCACGTACGTACCAGGCTAGCTGGCTGCTGAAAAAATGAATTCTACACAGATTCAAAAATTCAAAAATCTAACATTAGTACCGTAACGTACCGTTGATCCGCCGCCCCCCGCCCCCACGCCGTGTCGCTTCCCAGCTGGTTTTTCGGCGGGGGGGGGGGGGGGGGGGCGGGAATTAGATCAAGTCGTTCAAGTGCAGTACGATGTACAACGAAACAGAAGATCAGACATGGGATGCTGGATTGTGCGCATTTTCATCCTGCGCTCGCACATATTGTGTACAGCAGTACATGCATCTGTTTAACATCATATTTCGTTGTATACGCCGATGTCGCTTGACAAGCACAATTTCGACAGGGGGCGGGAATTAGAGCGGGGCGGATCAACGGTACTTTTACGGTATCCACCCCACGGCCCATGCGATGATACAGCTCCGGCGTGGCACTTTTATTTATTCCCGTAGCTATGCAGAAGACGTTACTTCAGTAACGTCTGGCGCTAGCCAGGGTCCACACAGCTTTAATTTGGTGTTTGTTTGTTTGTTTGTTTGTTTGTTTGTGTCACGCCTGGCGCTATCCCGTATCTGTCCCGTACTGTACCGTACCGTACCAACAAAGACGGCTGGCCACAATATTTTTGTTTGTTTGTGCCATCGGCATGCCTGGCGCTATCCCGTACCTGTACCGTACCATCAAGAGTACGGTACCATCAAGAGAATGAGTATATATGCGAAGTGTATCGGGGGAATGCATTCAGTGCAGTAATATTTTGTGTGGATTTGTGTGCTAGGCCGAGATCCCACTGGCAGGATGGCTGGGCCGCCTGTCGACCAGCCCGGGAATCGCAGTAGGCCGATAGCATAATGATTATAACGTGTATACAGTCATGTAGATGTTTTACACTGAGGCATATTATATAAACGACTCCCTGCTGCATTGGGAGATTTTCTAGAAAGAAATACGAAGTAGGGAGACGAGTAAATGCAATTAGAATGGATGGTAGTTGCCGTCAGTATAATAATGATAAGAAGAAGAACGCCCGTGATCAGCAGAGTCAGCGCCGGTCCGGTTCATTTTGCTGACTCGTACAGCTCTATCTTTTGTTTTTGGTGCGTGTTTTTGGCCGTGATGCCGAGACCTCAGGTCGGCAGAGCCATCAATGCCCCACCATCACTGCTGCGTCTCGCTGCAGCCCCTGCTCAATAGTTGTCACGTTCGTCCTAGTCTCAGTATCATTGTCTTTCTTATTATTTTCGAGCTGGGAATGTGAACATAGTAAAAAAAAAAAAAAAAAAAAAAAAAAAAAAAGGAAAAGTCAGGACAGACATCCCGTCGACTCCAGAACGCCCTTGATCAGCAGAGTCAGCGCCGGTCCCATAGCTATGCAGAAGACGTTACTTCAGTAACTCATTGAAACGCTTTTGCAATAGAATGATGTAGCTAATCAAAGGAAAAAAACATTTCCATCAGTCCTAACAAGATGCACGATGAGCTAGTCAACAAAGCATAGCGCAGGGCTCTGAGCTTCCAAGCTCTCTCGTTTTTGATAGTACATGGTGATACTGTACGCCTGGCTCTCAGTGCACACTGAGAACCATGTGAAATGAGATCTACAAGAAGTTGTAGATCTGTACCTGCTGGGTCTCGTGATCACTGTTCAGCTTCTTGACTACACTCAGTCAAAACGGAGTACAGTAGGTATGGGTTATAGCGTGGGTGTTTGAAAAACGACTTTCTATTCTTATTTCCGATATTTCTTACACACGGTAAATCAAGTGTGACATATCATGTGCAAGTGCGCAGAGGCAGGAAGATCATCGTACATGCAATGAAGTGCTACTGTGCATGCTGCTGGTCATAGTCCCATAGGCTTACTTTTGGCTATGCAACATGAGTTACATGACCACAACAGTTGAACCTGCAGCACTACGACCCAATGCGAGTCAGGTCAGAACTACATTGGACGGATGTTATTACTACAGGCGATATACTTTGTACTAATCTGGCATGTTTCGCTACGCAAAGTCCATTCTTTGGACCGATATATTCTACTGTACGATAAAATTGCTTGTAAGAATAAATGTGCACTTGAAACCCATGTTATGATTATGAAAACAAGAGAGTTCATTCTCGTAGCCAGTATATTTTTTTACACGGCCACACTATAACCGATACGCACTGTACTAGCTAATGGTGGGTCTAGACCAGCTATACGTGTATACATTACCAAAGAAACTATGCGGCTGTAGTGCATTTCAAATGCATAGACGCACAAACCTGCACGAGAGTTCAGTATAGACTTCTAGCATGGAGTATCTGGTTATTTGAACCCTCTTGGGTGAGCTGTTTCGAAGGTGTGTTCTGATTTTCGCAAATCACCCTGCATTTGCAATGTGATGCCCGGGTGTTGTCCTATTTTCAATGTGTAGCCATAGGGCCGGCCGGTGAGGCAAGTATGCCCGCCTACAAAGTTATGGGGTAAGCCAGGCATTCGAAAAGCAATCGAGCACCGCATGTGGCCAAGACGTAAAAATTAACAATATGATGCAGAACATGTGCTACGTGTGATTTGGTAGAATTTAGGTATTCGTACAGGACTACTGTACGGATAGGACTACTGTACTCTCAAGCTAGAATGTCAACACACAGAGACTCCTCCAAGCATTGAGAGGACTCTCACTCTGCATGCTGTGTACTTCTTGGATTGCTTATGTATCTGAAACCATCCTGTGTATATTCTGGACTGCTCATGTATCTAAAATCGCAAATGGACACGGTTTTCAGTTCGAATCAATACCACAAGAAAGCCTTACAGAATTATTTTATAACTCTGGCCGATGTCTAGACTCCTTTTCTAACAAAATAGAAGTGTATGAAAGGAATTGTGAAGCGAAGAGATGGCTTATGGTATATATAAAAGAGAATGCGTGAAGAACTGCATGCCTATGAAGTCAAGCTTCGCTTCATGTCTAGAAATACATGTGTTCTACGTTGTGACGGGAAGGTGATATCAGATGGACTGTTGACTTGCCCCTGACTGATAGATCTACACACAACCAAGACTGCACAATACATGTATAAGGGTATGCAACTTGATGTAGGTGTGCTGTATTTTTAGTTGGTACCGAGAGCTCACATCATATGGTGCAATATTCGTGTTGAGCATATCCAGGGCGTGTTTTAGACGTGACTCAGCAAGGGGTAGGAGCAAAAGCATTCCTAGAACAAATTGAACAAAGTCTGTGGCAGCTCCAGATGAGATGGCACATCCACTAACCGCCGCCGTGCATTGTAGATCTACAATGCATGCTTGAAGGCTGAAGCTGTTGTGAACCACATGATATGAGTCTCTGTTGCTGAAAACCCTGCAAAGATGCACACCACTTATGAGTCATGTGCTCTTGATGTTCCTTGTATCTTTGTTCCACACACGTTTGGAATGTTCCTTGTTATTTTTCCACACTTGTGCTGTATCTGCTCACTGACACAATGCACACACTGCTGCTTGCTTTGTTCTGTCTTCCTGCCAATCTGCAGCTCACTAAAGTTTGTCAGAAGCTCGATGAACTGTACTTGGAAGTTTGTGATGCCATTATTTTCAATTGGTTGCAGTTCTTGCGTGATGACGTCTTGGACTTTTTGTCCATGACGGAGAAGCGTGGAGATAGCATGTATATGACTGTGAGTGTACTGCCGTCACGTGCCGGTAAGAATGCTGCCGCTGCTGCTGCTGATGGTGTGGATATGCGTGCTTGCCAAGATGTTGGATCTATTGCTCAGCTTCACCGTGCCATGCGTGCGCATAACGAGGATCAGCGGGCCGTGGCCTTTGCCAGTGCCTACCATGACTGTGAAGTGTGCTTCATCACACAGCCTGGCGAGAAATGCATCCAGTTCTTGCCCTGCCACCATGCCTTCTGCAAAGAGTGCATGAAGTCCTACTTTGAGGTGCAGATAGCCGAGGGAGCGGTCACTTCTCTCCATTGTCCTGCCGGCAAGTGTGAGAGCCAGGCTCTTCCCACACAGGTGCAAGCGTTGGTCTCACAGGAGCAGTACGGGAAATACGAGCGTCTCCTGCTGCAGCGTGGCCTGGAGTCGATGGAGGAGATAGTCCTGTGTCCGGCCAGGATTTGCCAGCAGCCGGTCGTGAAAGACGGCGGCGACTCCAACATGGCCACGTGTGCTGCATGTAAGCTTTCGTTTTGCATACTGTGTCGCCGCGTGTGGCATGGTGTCAATCCTTGCTCGGTCAGCAACTCTGAGAAGGCCAAGCTGGTCAAGAAATACCAGTCGGGAACAAAGGAAGAGCGGGCTGCTCTTCTTAAGGTATATGGCTCTAGAATCACGCGTTATGTGGAGGAGTCCATCAGTGAGGAGTGGCTGACGGAGAACTCCAAGGCGTGCCCGTCGTGTGGCTCTCACATTCAGAAAACAGAAGGTTGCAACAAGATGACATGCAGACGGTGCCGCAATAATTTCTGCTGGATGTGTCTGGCCAACTTGAACCGTCACAATCCCTACTCTCATTTCAGCCAGCAGGGAAGTCCATGTTACAATCGTTTATTTGATGGCATGCTGGATGAAGATGGTGAGCAGGACTGGTGGGTAGGCGCTGAAGAGATCATGGAAGAATAGCTGGCTCACCAGCTGATGTGCCTCAAGGTCCCTTCTTGATGACTTCTACTGATTCCAAAATTGCGCAGGACCAGCTGGCAGCAACAATGTACCATAGGGCATAGCACATTGCTCAGAAGTTCTAGTTTGTGTGTGTGTGTGTGTGCATGTGTGCATGCATATGTGTGTGTGTGTGTGTGTGTGTGTGTGTGTGTGTGTGTCCTTCACTTCTTGGGAGTTAGTGTTCCAGGCTAGTGCACTAGGGCCATTCTACGTAAGTTATATTTCTGGCATTCTCGTCTCGACATTTGCTTTTTTACCCTATGTGTGTGTGTGTGTGTGTGTGTGTGTGTGTGTGTGTGTGTGTGTGTGTGTGTGTGTGTTTGTGCATATTGTTTTCTTATTTCGTCTGGCTAAAGCATTGCCTATCTGTGGATATCCATTGTTGTGTTTATTGTAAACCATTGTATAATGGTGTGGTGTTGTTTTGCGCATCTTATCGAATCTCTGCCTGTCTTTTGACTGGGCGTTAGCTTTGTGTAGCAGTATTATTTCCTTATTCAACTCTTTTTTTAACCCTTGCAGAAGTTCACTCAATGTCTTCTGCAGTTGTCTTGAGTTTTTACGTACTCCATTCAAATTGGTTTCCTCTCAGTTCGCTGTTTATGTATATATTACATGTCCTAGTATGTGCGCACAACTTCAGTGCGCAGACCTGACATTCCGTGCAACGCTTGGTCTGCAATTCTGAATTTGTCTGTTTTCGTCATCCAGCTTGGTCTGCCCATCGTTCTGCTTATGTATGTGTATCTACTTCATAGGTGCACACATCTCCTTGGCCTTGGTGCAACTGCATGTACTGGCGGTACTGGAGCTTGTGGTGGTTTGCAGCCTGATTGTGTTATACCCACACCAGGAGACATGGAACCTTAGCAGGTAGACTTACTGCCACCTAATCCGACCTTGAAAGTTGCACCTGGGCAGGATTTCCTGGTAAGCGCAATGTTCGGCTGACCTGGGACTTTTAGAATCTTTGTATTTTGACTTTCACTTTTGTGTCACTGTTGCGGTGGCAAGCAGGGAGTAGTAAAATACCGGTATTTTACTACTCCCTGGTGGCAAGTAAAATTGGTCGCGGCTCTGAGTATATGAACGCATTGTGTTCTCTTCTATGCTATCGTGTATGGCTGTATGCGAGCTTGGCCATGGTTTGGTCATGTGCAATGCTGGGCAGAGCAATTCTTACCTCATTCATGTATAGCATACTGTCGGGCGCCGAAGAACGACCAGGCTAGAATTTTACAAAGCACAGCATACCAATGTATACACGGTGACTCAACTGTGCATAGACTGTATACAAGAAAATAAGAACCGTTTAGGCTAGGAGGCTGACCCCCCGTTCTTCGGCGACCGACAGTGCTGTACGATATTTCATTGTACACGTGGTGTTGATGCTACATATTGTCGTCATTGTATGTTTTAATTTTTAGTGTGAACGTGCAATCTGAAATACCGGTACCCAATATCTTCATTGTGTAGCTGCAACAGTGTACATGATGTAGGCCAGGGAGTAGACTAGTAAGTAGCCTAATACCGTAACGATCTGTCAACCATGCCATTGACTGCAGCCTACATTATAATACTAGAGCTAGCACCTACAATACAGTCAACTTCGCTAATAACGACTGCGGATATAACGACAATTCGCGAATAACGACAGCATTTCCATGCCCAGAGCAAAGTCCTTTCCAACTGTAATACATATAATGAGACTTCGGGTATAACGACACTTCGCAAATAAGGACACTTTTTTTGATGCCCTGCCGAATGTCGTTATAAGCGAAGTTGACTGTACATTGTAAGTCATGTAGAGTGTGCATGACTAGTCCAGCACCTTTGTTATAAAGTGGTCGCTGTGTGCAGGTGGTCTCCTTAACCAGGGTCATTTGACTGGAAACAACTCCCTGGTCCAAGAGTAGTGGTCTTCCTGGACAGGTGGTCGCCTTATTTATAATAGAGTGGTCGCCTTGACAGGTTTCACCGGTACTGGATACGTTACTATCAAGAGTATACTCTTGGACTCTTGGTACTATTTTAGTAGTCTGTGCTGTCTCTACAGCCCAGGGACCAGATACGTACAGGTTCCTGCACGAGTACGAGTATGAGTGACTGGAATGTACTAGTATTTCCCGTGTGCACCCAAGCCAAAGTCTAGCATGCATGCACTCGCACACCATACACTCATGTAGATAGATCTACATAACTACTTGTAACTACTTGGCGCGTGTTTCGTAAATACAAGGACAACGGAAGGAGCGACTAAGTTACTTAGTCGCTCCTTCCGTTGTCCTTGTATTTACGAAACACGCGCCAAGTTCGTGAGCCAATGAACGCACTGGATTCCGTTCCTGTCCGTCGTCAAGTGACGCCGGGCAGTGGATTCCGTTCCTGTCCGTCGTCACTTGACGACGGGCAGTGGATCCAGTTCCATCAACTTAATTAATGTCTTTGAGCAGGCAGGACCGCGCTTTCCAGCCTGCGCAGTTTGATCTGTCATTGGCCGACTCAAAGGCGACAATCACGTGGCATACTGGAGATGACTGTACGACACACACTGATACAGTCTGTAACCACCTCTCATGGAGTGGACCCCCCCCCCCCCCCCCCCACAGTACACTGTCACTGTATTATTATTATTTTTATTCAAACTCCGTTTGACCTACAAAAAGTCTACATACACGTACCTGTATACAATCATACCCATGATTAGGCCTCCGCGGAATGTGCCGGCATAATTTCGGGAATTATCGGTGTGATTTTTAAAACGGGAATTATTGGCAATTTTTGTGGAATAATCGGTAAAATTTGAGCAATGCCCCCCTTTTTTAAATTTTTTTCCATTTATAACACCCTGATTTGTACCAAAAAGCTCATGATCCTGAAGTTGATCGTCCGGTATTTCAAAAAAGAAAGAAAAAAAAAGCTTCCAGCCGAGTTTCACGCGAACCGTGATTTTTTTGGCCGTATAAATGGCAAAAACCCGTACGCGGTACGGTATCTGCAAAAGAAGGGAAGAAAAAAAGAATTATTGCGAGAATTATTGGTGGAATTACGGGAATAATCGGTCGAAATTTTGAGCAATGCTCAAAAGAATTATCGGTAAAAATACGAGCATATTCCGCGGAGGCCTACCCATGATACCAGATACCAAGAGTACATAACCCCTGATGATACCAAGACGAGAGTAGAAGCCCGGGTTACTCTGGTCTTGATGATACATAATTGTAGATCTACGTACATGTAGCTACGTAGTAACGACTAACGTAGGCAAACAGCGTTTGAACCAGGGAGTAGTAAAATACATTACTACTCCCTGGTTTGAACTAACTGCGCCCGAGTGTTCCTCACTGCAAATGACACTCTGTGTCTGTGAGTCTGTAGCTAGCTGTGGTCGCATACCGGTACCGTGATCATGTAGGCTGTATACAGCTGACAGTCTGAGCTGTGTACTTACTGTGTAGTCAGATATGCGTCTGGCCAGTGTCACACTTTCTTCCGGCCAACAACACAACGCTCAGTCAAGCTGCACCTTACTGTTACTTTTTGCAAGACATTGGAGAGTTGCGAGTAGCGTGTTTCGTGCCGCACTTTGTCTTCTTCTCACTTGGTCACTCCTGGACGGTGCGAACTATTACTTGTTCTTAGCGCTATCTTCGGCAAGTGTTTCTGGTTCTGAGGGCAGTAAGGCGAGCAGATTCGTGCCAGTTGGCTGTACTGTGATAGCACTGGCAGTAAAAATCCGGTGTTGACCGTTAGCGCATTTTGAGTTTAGTTCGCTGTGATATCAGTGTAACGGGCATAGCCGCATCATGAGCGAAGGAGAGCAGCTTACGATCTCTCTGTCTGGCGGCGGACCGTGGGGACTTCGCCTTCAAGGTGGCAAGGACTTCGGTGCGCCATTGACCATTGCCAGGGTAAGCAGTAGAGTGCATGCACTCATGTTATGATGTCCTGGGCACTGCAGAGTGCAGTGGCAGATTGGAATGATTTCTAATTGTTTGGACGACAATAAGCACGCACGCTGGTGTTTTTGTGTTGAGGTGTGTTTCTGGGAATTATTGCTCTTGACCTCTTGTTTGTGCGCTTGGTGTGGACGGATACCAGCAGGAGCGAAAGGAAGGACATGGTCATGTCACTTTGAATACTGTCTTTTGAGTTTGCCTCCACAGAACCGAACTGTATAACTATGGTCTGATTCAGTGATTGGTACGTCTTCACTTCAGTCAGTTTAGAGTAGAAAAGGCACTCGGGTGACAGTATGCGTGCTTGCGTGTGTTCCAGTGAAGCGCTGGCTGAATGGTGGGCGAGGTGTTGGGTAACGATCGTCAGCTATTTACTGCCATGCCCCCACGTTCACGTCGCATTCAGCTTGTGTCTTGTGTCCGACGACAATACGTTTTGTTAGTTTGTGTTCAAAGTAAGCAGGTTCCTTGTAGACTTCGAGCCCTTCTTTCCGACATAAACTGATAGAGGCTCGTTGATAGACTTACTCTTGCACTTTTCAGCTTTGTTCTTCATTTTGGTGCTAGTGCTGTGAAGAAAATGTTTGTTCGTTTTTTGCCAGCACCCCTTGTAGACCTAGGCTAACTGAAAAATTGCTTACACTGCTCTGCCCAGACAGTAGATCTACGGAAGAGGCCTAGGCTATAGTAAAAGTGCCGTCACATTGTGCAGCTGCCGTTCACTGGGCCGACAGCGGTGTAATGTAACTATTGACTATTGTTGCGTGTGTACACAGTAGCAGCAGCCATTCGCTATGCATGGCCCACTCATACTGTCAGTTTGGGCCACGGGACCGGGGTGGCGTGCCAGTTTCGTATTATCGGCTATGGACCAGCTCGGCGACCAGTTTCTCTGTCCTGCAAAGATGTATTTCCTACAAACACCATAAGCCTTGCTGAGCTCTTATCAGTCTTAGGGGAAAGTAAGAGCTGGTAGTGATTCTGGTCTGTGGTAGATCTACATGTACATGACAATGAATGACGGTGCCTCCGTAGCTGCGAGCTTGAGTAGACAAAGTGAACTGGTATTGGTAGAATACTCATCCAGTGCCTTTCAGTCCTGTGTCCCGGCAGATAAGAATGGCACAGGCATGACATTGACAAGACCAGTAAACCACTCTGGGGAATACTAGTGTCAACTCCTACTAGAGTCTGCACCCAGTATCGTCGTGCCACAACGACAAACGAGCGACACTACCGCGGCTTTCGGCAGTAACGCAGGATGTGTTGGTTCTAGGACGAGATTCGTAACCTCGGGTACGCTCATGGGGGCAACAGTACTAAACCCGATTCATTTTTTAGTGAATGCCTGAACTAAGTTACTTCAGCCAAAGTTCAGGCGAGCATTGTTACCCCAATGAAGTCTTCAGTCGCCGGACCTGTCTTGTAGTTGTAGTTGTTTTTACTGTTGTCCTGTCTACCTGGCTGTAGCCTGTAGTCGGGTGAACCATGGCATGTGAACTGGGACCTGTCACCATCCTTAGTTGTGGGCGGCGTGACATGCTGTCCTTCACACACCGCGCCTAGTCTCGTGTAGCTCACCACTGTACAGTGTAGATCTACGACATGCCAGACATGTCCAACTGTTGGACATTCCTGGGCCTGGCTGTGCCATTTATGGGGTGTGCTGTGAAATAATTTAACTGAAGCCAACAGGAGATAACATACAGATATTCATTGACATTGTCATTGAGTTCAGACTGTAGACAGGTAGTAAGTGTCCAAGTGTGTGGTATGGAGGTAGAATCAGTTTGCAGTATACAATGTACAACAGTAGAAGTGAAGTAAAATGTGTGTAGATCTACATCACGCAGTTTCAGGCTTTCAGCTTCTGTTCAGTCAGGCAAGGGCATGTCACCCGTACCCGTGACTGACAATAGTCCACTGCATATCAACTACTTATTTAGACTAGTTACAGTGTATTAGCTTTCTTCATTCAGTTTTGCTGCACCACTCCTATTCATTTGTACCTGCCTGATTTGGTCGTGTGCTACTGTAAACCTTTGTCAAAGGCTTTGAGCATTGATCCTCCCAGGGTTGGCATTGAGCTCAGCTCTGTACATGACTAAGTCAGTATAGGTTATGCGATTACATCATCAGTTGAGGGTTTTTTGGCAAAACGGCGGCACACCGTAGCTCCCATAAGTGAATCCGCCGACTCCTGCTGTGTACTTAGTGCCTATGCATAAGCAAATATTCTGGTTCTCCACCATGACATCATCATTTGCACAACCTCTACAGTTCTTGCACCTGAACCTATCCAACACGACATCCAGAGAAAAAATCATGGTAACTGGATACTCCCAGGGTTTCGATGATGATCATGAATGTATCCTTGTGTATTGTGGATTCCCCCCCCCCAGGTAACACCAGCTGGCAAAGCGGACAAGTCTGGCGTAAAGCCAAATGACATCCTGGTATCTATAAACGGAACATCTACGTTATCCATTCCACACATTGACGCACAGCAGCTGGTGAAGAGTGCTGGCAAAGCTCTGAAACTTGAACTTATCCGGTGAGCTAATCTTGACGTTAAGCGGGTTACCAGTAGCGATGTATACTTACAGAAGGAAGTGAATGGGAGCAGTTTGTTCTAAGAACACTTTTGTTCATTGTTACATCACAAGTCTGTGGGAAGTTCATCATTCCACTGCCAGCACCTCTGGATAAATATAAAATTGAATGCCTGCTGGCCGATTTGCTAGGTGCCCCTGGTGCCGTCGATTTATTTGATGTATCATGTCTAATCTCTTCTGTTAGATGTACCTGTTACTACACCAAGCTCTTTTGCCAGCTTAGCTGCAATTCGGGCACATGCATGTAGTTGGTGCCAGGGGGTTCTTACTAAGATATGTATGTACAAGAAGGTCCGCAGACTGCGTCCTTACCAGATGTGCCGATGTACTCATATTTCATGGTGCCACTCTGGATCTCCCTTTTATTTCCTGTCACTGCATTAGGGGTCGTGACTTGGTTGCACACCCGCTATCTGTTCCAACTTCGTCAGCAAGCTCAGCCAGCTCCAGCCCTAGACCATCTTTAACCGGCCGACCAGGCCCACCATGGCAGCCAAGGCGTGAATCAAGTGGCCCGGTAGGATTACATGCTAAGTTGTCTTCTAGCAGAACCAGTCTACGGTGACCACTCAATTATTTTATGTACTGATTGATGTACTTTGTGGCCAGGGGAGGTTTGACTATGCCAAGCTGGCAAGTTGTGGGCCACGCTGATAACTGATCCGGCTCTGCTGTTGTAAATTTAAAAGGTTTATGCTCTATGTACAATCATGTATAATTATATGTACTTCCTCCGCGTCATCGAAATTGTCGCAGTTTGACTAGTGACTTGTCACTTGTTACTGACAACTCCATAAGCTAAGCCATTCAAAACTTATTACACAGTATGATAGTCTGAAGACTAGAGTAACGTTCCAGGACAGTTGGACTGAGAGTTTTCATGCAGAGATGAAGTCCTCGTCGTCGCTGATGTCAATGGACGCAAAAATTTCGTTCCGAAATATTTCAAGGAAGGTTGAAAGTTGGTCGCGCCTCATCTCAAACGCTAGCCAGTGCAGGCTGTCGTAATAAAACGACTCATCCGTGTTCCATTCCCGTGCATGGTACATGTATGGTGCGACGGCACAATGACAGCTGTCGCAAATCACACTGAGTATTACACGTGTTTTTTGGTGATTCCTGGTTAGCTGCTAGCTTTTCCCTACTCGAAGTTGTTGCCGCCGCGAAATCTGGGGGTTTGTGTTCGTCCTGGCGAAAACCGTGTTTTGATCCGTTGAGGGAGACGAGAGATACAGTGCGAAGACGTACGATCTGTCCGAGAATCGGCGAAGAAGAAAGCTTCGCAGACTACCCGTAGTGGTTGGGAACAGAATGGAACATATACCAGTCGATGCCTGTCATGGTAGGGATGACTGCTACGAAGTTTTAGCCCCATGCTCCCCAGCGCTTTTTAGCGCCCGACGATAATTACCAAATTTCATCGATTTTCCATGTGGATCAAAGCATAGTCTCCTCAATCTTCTCCAGTCGAGCAGAGTCTGGACGATACAATGTCGAGACGCGAAAAGAGAACATGCATGAACACACAGGAGCATCACATGCAGCTGCATTCTGCCTTGACGAAGCTGAGAACAACACCAGCACCACGCATTTGGAAGACATTTCGAAGAAGACGAAGAACTACATATCCGCGTTCAAAAAAGCCTCTGTACTGCGTGTGTGCATGCAGTATGCATGCATGCATGCGCGAAGCACGGGGTCCGCGGATCAACTTCGTTCAAAAATCATTGTGCCACACGGGTTGTATGATTTGTGTGCGATCATGGTCTTTCTTCTTGACAAACAAAAGTGAAGTTTTTCGATCTTCAAATCGCCATAGCGTCCTTGTCATGACTCCAAATCAGCTGAAACTTTACAGGAGGAATGAAAATGCCATGCTGAATCGATTGGTACCATTTTCGAAGGGTTTCCTTGAAAAATAAAATTTAGCCTGCACTGGCTACAAACGCTTTGACTTTCTCCACAGGACAAGAGCTGCTATGCTTGTCGTCTGCTAGCTCTGGATGATTTCTACTTCACCACCAACGAAGCCTAGTAAGAATACACGATCGTTGCGAGGTCGGTTGATTACCGTCGGCGGAATCACCTCGATCTTGAAGTGAACTGTTTTAGCCGTGGCATGCCCATTTATTTTAGCTGTGTGGTCACAGCTCATGCAGGTAAGTGTACTATCACGTCCAGCGCGCCCTCTTTTTCAGCATCACTGCCCGGCCCTGATTCACTGGTATACCATGGTACGGCACCTGCGCGTGCATCACTAGCACTACGTGTAGACTCTACACGGCTCTTGCAGGTACAATCATGTACTGAGTGTCTCGGCCAGAGCGACAAATTTTATCGCTGTTGCAGGCGTTTAGTTTGCTGACCCCTCGATGTTTCTCCAAGCGCTGCCACTTAGTCCACGAAGTCATTCTCACCCCAGCTAAGGTAAAACAGTGATGAGGCTTGAGTGAATGGCCATAAGCACGAGAAATGTGCAGGCTGCAACGCCTGACTGATCTCACCGAGTCAAAATTACCATCGCAGCGACATCAGCGAAGAAATTGCGTCTAGTTCAAAAATTCCAGCTTCCAATAACAGAAAATAGAACTTTGCCGTCACCCTATACGGTCATTTAATAATAATAATACTGATGACCATCGCCTATGTCCAATTCCTTGCCTCTGGTACGAGTGCTGGTGAGTAAATACCCCGTTTTATATCAAAGTCAAACTGCGACAATTTCGATGACGCGGAGGAAGTATGTAATGTATGTATGTATGTATGTATGTATGTATGTATGTATGTATGTATGTCGGATTTATGTATGTATGTAATGTATGTATGTATGCATGCATGTATGTATGTATGTATGTATGTATGTATGTTGAAGGGCATGATGTACTCAGTGTCTTGTGAGGTGGTGTACACATGCTCATTTTCTTGTGTGCTGATGGTGGTATTCAGGCGGATGCTGTGGACGAGTTACCGCCACCACCTCCATTTGTGACGGATAGTGATACATCGGGTGCAACTAGCAAGACCGTGTCTCCGCAGCCACCGCCCCAGCCAGTGACGCCATCACATACTTGGAGTCAGGTTGCAGACGGTCCCCAGGAGCAGAAATGCCCTATACCGGGTGAAGTGGCGGACATTGCAGCCAGGTGTGCTAATCTCATATACAATACTGTTGCTATGATGGACTGAATCCAGTGCATTGCATTGCATAGGGACCATAGACGGAAGTGCATTTCCGAAAATCTAGCCATGTGAACTTGACTGACCGCCTGCATTCAGTATAGGCTATGGATACCTCGGGAAAATGTTTAGTCCAATAAGAGAGGTGTTCAGAGACTCGTTTGTTTCCTACAAAGCGAGTCAATGAGTCAGGGTCAGAGTCTTGTGAAAATCTCATAGATTAGATTCGTAATACACGAGTTCGGGCTCTTTGATTCGCAAGTAGCGGCTCCGAGATCGCGCTGCCGCAAATAAGGGCACGCCACATCAAAACAAGAAGTATGATCTATTACCCGCATATTTACACATACCGTAAAGTCGCGGATAAAAGCCGGGCTTATAAGCATAAGCCGCTTTCTGCATCAGGCTTTAAAATGCAAACCAGGCTTGTATGCAAACCATGCTTATATGCACCACTGATATTTTTGCCAGGCTTCTACGCGCAAAACGCGTAGATCTACCACTGACTACCGGTATGGCGGCAGTTTTACTATGGACCGTACATAGCGCATGCACTCTTGACCTACCCGATCCACGCTTGCATAGAAGCCAGGCTTCTACGCGCGACAGGCTTATATGCATTTGACCCGTTTGATTTTCTGGCTTCTATCCGGGATGTGCTTGTATGCAAACCCGGCTTTTATCCGCGACTTTACGGTAATGATATTTCTTAGAACTTAGCAGTAGCGGCATCTAACAGTAGACGTAGAAATAGCATTTCTTAATCTGATGCAAATGTTGTTATAAGGGTAGGTCGATTTTTTGAAAAGCACATAACCACCAGGAAAGCTGACAAAGAAAAAAGAAAAAAAAGAGAAGAGAGAGAGAGAGAGAGAGAGAGAGAGAGAGAGAGAGAGAGAGAGAGAGAGAGAGAGAGAGAGAGAGAGAGAGAGAGAGAGAGAGAGAGAGTGAGTGTGAGTTGGGGTACGGTTAGGGGAGGACAAGACATTGAATGGTGGTCGCCACAGTAACAGATAGTAGCAGTGCTGGTGAGGCTACAGGCACTCCACTGACCTGTACATGATACACTGGTGTCACAGTGGTGTGTTCTGTAGGCCAAGAATGCAGTAACGTCTGAGGAAGCCTGTTACACATACAGTGTGTACATGTATTTCAAGTACAAAGTACAATCAGTTACATGTTCATCATAGTTCATGTACCTGGAGATGAATGACGTATAATGTGCAAAAGCATAAGACGTGTTTGAGTCTTGCGTGTGTGTATGCACGACAAAACTACGTAGCATGTGGACAGAAGTTGTGCAGGAATTTTTTCAAAAGTGGCATCCATCCAAGCTGAACACTTAAAAGTTGCCATGCAAATGTTCCCTTGATTGTACATGAAGGTTTTGTTGGTGGTCGGCTTCATTAATAATTGCATTAATTTGAACAGGACAGAAGCACATATGGGTTTGTAACCTTCATGGTGTTTGAACAGTCTGTGCTTTTGGTACTATGTGTGTATGTTTGCGTGCTTTGTCCAGGAAAAGTCAGTCACCGAATGATGGACGACGCGTATCCAAGGTGATCATTGCTACTGCTCATGTAGAAATACTGTACTTCAATGTCCGCATTGCCCTCGCACATGGTGTTGCGTAGTGCGTACATATTGCTATATGGCTTCATACTTGTCAGGATGTGTTCGTGCTAATCTGTTTTCAGTGCTACTAGCATAAATCATTGCAACGGCTGAGATTGTCTTTGCTGGAATATATGTTTTTGTCATGTTTCGCTTGCTGCAGGATGAGGATGTTGTACTCGGGGGCGCTTTCAAGCGTCTGCAGAGAGAAGTCGAGAATATGGAAGTTGGAGATGGTAGGTGTGGTGCACATGGCAATAATGCGCTATTTGATGCATATGCTAACTCAGTACTACTGTGTGTGATGTAGATACCACAGCGGCCAAGCAGTCCTTGATGGAGTCAGGGTTGCATGCAGTAATTTCATTGTGTGGCACATGCGCCTTAGATAAACGATCAAAATCTGATGTCCAAACTCTGGTTCTATTCTGCACATATGCTTTCTGATCACCCTGCAGAGCCTGTGCCGAGTGCACTAAGCCCAGGGGCGTCCAAAACGTCTTCTGCCTCAGTGTCGACCGGACGCCGCGTTAGTGGCCCTAGCACCGCTAGTCCTGCGTCCCAGCCGCGGGCGCACCATTCTGGTGCTAGCCCCGTAACTGCACGGGGTGCATCGCCAAATAGTGGTGCTGCTGCAGCTCGAGCCACTGCATCACCACCTGCCAGAGCTGCTCCAGCAAATGGTGGTGGCGCCTCACCAAGCGTCAAGATGAACTTAGCTGCCAATCTTGCCAAGCTCCAAGCCTCGGAGCAGCTACAGTAAGAGGCATCAGAGACAGGAATTGTAGCTGACAGCTGTAGTGAACTAGTAATCACTTTTGAACTGGGCATAACTAATCCATCTTTGATCGTATAAGCAGTCCATCTTCCTGTATCGGAATGTTGGTTAGCACGAGCAGCAGTTGCATGGTGAGAGAACTGCACATGGGTTTGTGTGGTGCAGTGGATGATGTACATATATGTGTTGGAGACGGTGAGAGGGTGCATCACTTCTGTGCTTGTCGTGCACCCATGTCAGCCTGTATTTCATCTGTGGTCTGAACTGCTATTGCCGGTCCTGTCCCTCGTTGTGTTTGCATTTGTTCAGGAAAGAGCAAAAATCGATGACGGATGGAAGATCTGTACCTCGTGATGATGCTGCGAAGCGAATTGGAGTGGCGTCTAGCCGAGTGCCAGTTTGCGGTGGCTGTGACTCCCCTATTGAGTAAGTTACCATGCCTAGCACTGTCTTGCTCCTTCTTGCCAACTGCATTTCACCACCCTGTACTAATACAGCTGCACACACGAGAAATGGTACTGCTGCATTTTTACCCGTTATAAGTCGACATTCTACGCCCTGAAAACCGAACTAGGAAAGGGGCAGCGGACTTACACCATGGTTTAGCCGCCATTGAACAGGGAAATTCAGGCCCCAAGTATATAGGGAGTCGACGTATAACCGAGGTCGACTTGTAACTGGTGAAGTATGGTATTCCTGAGTAATACGGTGCATGTGCATGTGTACAACACCCTTTCACTTCCTTCACTTCCTTCAAGGTGATGATTGTGTACCATGTTCTGTGTCATTGCTGTGTACATCACGCTCCGCTGCGCAGTGGTCCGTACGTTCAGGCTGTTGGAAAGCAGTGGCATGCCGAGCACTTTGTCTGCTCCTCGTGTGGCACGCAGCTGAGGAACTGTCCGTTTGTGGAGCACGAAGGAAAGATGTTCTGTGAGAAATGCTACACGGAATACTTTGCCTCGCGCTGCTCCGTATGCAGTAAGACAGTAAAGGGGGTAAGTGAGCTAACTGCTGAAATGTACCAACACAATGACATTATAGAGAGATCATCCACAATATGGAGAGATCATCCTTCCATATTATGCTTTCACTTGGAATTTGATTTCTGATGTCATTGGACAATAGAGTTCCGAATTTGGAAGCATGGCAAACTGTACTAGAGGTTATGCTATGACATCACCAGGTGAGATGCTTTGGTGAAGTCGTGGCACAGCGCGGCTAAGCTGACAACTCAAGCTGCACACATAGCGCCCATAAGTAGTTCCGCTGACTCACCCCATGATATCATTCACATAGCCTCTATAGATTTGTGCCGCATTCACTGTACCGACCGTGTATTTCTGCTCATTTGATGCTTTTTGGCCGTGTCCAAACGTCATGTAGTAGATCCTTAGTGTTCTGGCAATTGTACTCAATGGTCCCGATTCGTTCAAGTTTGTGAGGTTTTCTTGAGTGGTGTTGGTAAGCAGTTACGTGTTCGATCCATCGTGGTTATTGCGGGCATGCTGCATTCACATTCTCTACCCGTCTTTTTCTACCTGTCTTTGCTAAAAAAATTCTACTGCTCAGTGATAGCTAGCTTCGGTGTGACGTGCTTGTGGCGTGAGTTTGAAAGCAATTCATATGATCCTGACCTGTGCGCTCTCGCTCTCTCTCTTCCTATCTCCAATGTAGGAGTGTGTATCAGCGGGCGGTAAAGAGATGCACCCGGCGTGCTTTCGCTGTGTTCGCTGCGGAAGTAGCCTTGCTGGCCAGGGTTTCCACGAGCAGGATGGCAACTTCTACTGCAGTGATGATTATGAGGCACTATTCTCTGTGATATGTACGGGCTGTGAACAGCCAGTCAAGAACAATGAGCTGTGGGTGGAAGCACTGGGAGGCCAATGGCATGAGACTTGCTTTTTATGCACGGTAAGTTGACTGAGTCACAGTTATCGGCGGAGCATGATCAAATGCTTTAGAGAGACGGAATGATACAGGTAGCCGCTGCAACATTTTCAAACAAACCGAAACAAACAAAAAAGTGGCCGCTTTGAACCACTAACAATACATCCACATACACACACACACACACACACACACACACACACACACACACACACACACACACACACACACACACTCAGACATGCCCATCACGGAAGCGATGATAGCGAACAGCTATGTTAGACATAGCAACACACACACACACACACACACACACACACACACACACACACACACACACACACACACACACACACACACACACACACACACACACACAGTTTGAAGAGTGTTCAGGCCCGCCAGAACTGTTCCGGTTGGTAAAGTCATCACCGGACCAACTTTGTGGCCACATACTAGTATGCATGTATGCATGTATGCATGTATGCATGTATGCATGTATGCATGTATGCATGTATGCATGTTTGCTGAGGAGTGTGCATGTCACCACCATTACAACTATGAACGACTGGAGTATATGGAGTATATGGAGTATATGGCAGGACCAATTCAAAACTGCTTCCGGCAGTTATTGTGAAAATACAAGCAAATTGATTGTTCTTCTTGTATCTTCCCATCTCTCTTCCCCTCAGGTGTGTCACAAACCACTGCAAGGAGGTAGGTTTTTCGCCAAGCTTGGCCGACCCTACTGCAAAGACCATGCTTGAATCGAATTATTCATGTTTATGTTTTTCTCTGCTATGTGCACACCTCCCCCCCCCCCCCCCCCCCCCCATGCAGCTATCATTCTGATATTGCCTTTACCCGCAATCTGGCACGTCATATGGTTTTTTTGTTCTAGCTCCATTTGAAGAATATTCCAGTAGGTAGGACATCGCAGGTTTCAGGCACATTCCTTATTTCATTCTATTTCAAGATTTCACAATTTTCACTTGGTGCAATTATCACCACTAGCTACTAAACTGGCAATAGCAGCAAATTTCAGCAGAATTGATAGGTTGCCATTGTCATAGATTGTACTAATTGTTCTGTAATAGTAGCCCATCACTATTGAATATCATCTGCATTACGATGATGAGAGAGCTCTTTCCTATCACTATTTTGTTGTGTATGAATTTGGCAGTAAATGCATCATTCCGGTCGTATGATATGCGCATATCTTCCTCAGTCAGCAGCCAGCACCTAGAATTTCAGAAAAGTCACAACAAGAGAACTGCATGGAACCGGAGGCCAAAAGTGAAACCCTGCCAAGGACACGCGGTACAAACTCATCTCCAGCAGCGATGTTGACACTAATAAAAATAATTCCACCCTGCATGGAAGGATGATCTCTTCCAACCAAACCTTTATGCAGTCTTGATTGTAAAAGTACTAGAAGTACATGTAACATGATGCAAGGTACGTTCGGGCTTGATTGGAAATTTTTATTTCCATTGCTATCAGGTTCGGCCTCATTTCCTCTGTGCTGCGCTGATGAGTTCAAAAAGAACGAAACAGCATGCTGTCCGCAGATTGAGTGTCACATGACTTGTAGTATAGTCTTGTATAGTATAGAGGATTAGAGGATTCGAGTAAAAGCCTTCAGCAGGCGGCATATGGCAACGCATTGACGGACCCGGGGTTCACGCCACACAAAGAGGAAGCCCATTTTTGATACTGCCGGGACTACATGTACAGGAGAACCCGCGGGCCGATGGCCGATTATCCGGGCATCAACTATCCAGATGATCAAATACCGTACACGCTCAAATACAATAAAAAGTCTTAGGGTGTCATCGATTGGCGAATCTGGATTGAGTGCGAGCAGTTGGTGTGGTCCAAGCGCTGCTCGCCCAATCGAACAAAGCAAGGGTGTAGTACGCCAATGGTACGCATATCGTACAAAGATTCTGTGAAAGCTGTCAACAAACATCAACGTCCATTTCCACTCCAGCCACTCCCAGTGTGGGTGCCGGTGTGGTCGCATTGCACTATAAGTACACCTACTCCGGATTTGGCCAAACGATCATGCTCACTCGGAGCGCACTTGCTCGGGATTCGCCCAATCGATCATGCCCTCGATCATGCCCTTAGGCTGTGATTGTTTGGTCAGATCCGGATCCACTGGATCTGCAGTGATTGATTGGTCGAATCCGGATCCAGATCCTTCGGATTTGGATCCGAGCAACCCTGCCCCGGGAGCAGGGTTGACTGGATCCATCGGATCCAAATGTGACCTTTATGCGTATATGGCGGGTAAAAATCATTTTTGTAGTCATTGTCGTAGGACTACAGTCCATTCAGAAAAAGATGAGCGCTGGCTCTGGAGAGCTCCCGTGTTTGGCGATTTTGTGGTACACTGTGCAGTGCCACATGATTCGAAACTTGAAAAAGGGTCCAAAAAAGGCACCTCAACTGGGGTTCGAACCGCAAATGACTAAAACCGAAATAATGTTCCTTCCCCCAATCTCATCCATGTCACTTTTACACCATCCTGATTTCCCAGAACCCATAAAGGTTGTTTCCAACCATAAACACCTGGGAATAATGCTTGATGATCGTCTCTCTTGGTCTTTCCATATTGATGCTCTTTGCAGCCGTTCAAGCTCTGCCCTAGGTGTTATACGTCCCCATTGTTTCCATCTTCCTTTCAAATGTAAAATTTTGTTTTACAAACTGTACATCCTGCCTCTTTTCATGTACGCTGCTGTTAGCTGGTGTGGCTTGTCCTCGGTTCTTGCTGAGCGTCTCGAAATCCACCATAGAAAACTTCTTCGTATCCTGTTTAGTCTACCCCCTCTCTACTCTTCTGCTTCCCTGTATGTCCTTGCAAATGCTTGCCCACTGTCGACCCACCGTCAAAAATTAATTTGCACTTTTGCTCACAAATTTAAACTAGCTCTACATCCTCCTCATCTAAACGTGTATAACTGGTTCCGAATCACAGATGGCTCCCAGACAAGATGCTCTGTTGCCCTCCCCTTGGCTAAAACGTCCTCCCTTGTACGCTCTCCACTCTTTGTTGCTTACTCTGCTTGGCTTGCGCTGCCCGCTACTACGCGCAATGCCAGTACCCTGGACGCATTTAAATCTGCTCACTAGATTCACCATCACCATGCTTCTCCGTCTTGACCATTACTTTTCTTCTTTTCTTCTTTTATTCACCATGGTTGGTTAACACCCACATCTCCCGTACTGGCTGATTTTCTTCTCATGCCATGAGGTGTTGTCTATAATAATAATAATAATAAATGTACTGTTATGCAAGTGGAGTGAACGGCCTGGATTTTCATGGTTTTTACCCAATTCAGTGCTTTGGGGGCAAAACCTGGCCGAAATCCTATTCTTGTTATGGCTTGCTTTTTGGAGAATAGACTTCAAAAACACAATTGGAAGAACATTCCATGGGGGATAGCCAAAAACATTGTCACGAAAAAATTTGACCCGTTTATGGCCAAAAGCTAGGATATCATCTTTTTCGTACTAAAAGTCAACAAGAGTCGACTACAGTCCATTCAGGACTGTAGTCGACTTTTGTTGACTTTTAGTACAACGCGCGCGATCAGTACAACTTTTGGGTAACCTGTCAGCGCCATTTTTTACTTCGTCAACATGGCAACAGCCAAGGTCCAAAAACGTGATTGGTTGATTCTGAAGGATCCGATGGATCTGAGATTTTGGATCTGGATCCGGATCCGACCAAACGATCATAGCCTAGGCTTCTTGACATTACCTTTTGGAATGTATAGATTTGGGTTGTGCTTGCGGATGAAAACAGCTTCTAATACTTTCAGTTCACAAAACCTGCGAGCACGGCACAACACAGTGAAGCATGAGTCATCATACACTGAACGGCGCTGATGACTATTGGACAAAAGGTGTTTCGGTTGCTGACCATTTCCTTGTGCTCTCACCTTCAGTCTGCTCCTCCTCGTCCTGGTTGTCCATCTCAGCCTCTCCTGCACTGCTCTCGCCCTCCTCGCCCGTGGTTTCTTCAGTATCGCCTCAACGTCATTGCTTTGTCTCTGCTTTCTTCAAGTCCATCTCAGGTAGAGGATGTCATTATTGTGGAGCGAGTCATACGTCACGTTACTGGTCTCCGTACCGGCGCTAGGCCATGTCCTGAATTCTCACACAACCGTGCAGGTTCCAACGGTATTGGTTTTGTTCCGGGCACTGGGAGGTTTGTGCGGCAGGCACCTGTTTACGGGGTCGACCTCGTCCAGGTCGCTGAGCTACTGTACAGTAGAATGCCGATAATCCAAACTGAAACTCCAGGGAGCAAAGTTAAAGCGGCCTCACACATTTCGCGACACGTGTTTTGTGATGTGAAACCTCCCTATTTGCGTGTTAACAGTTGAAGTGCTGCATATGATGACCAATTAGTCTGTTTTTGACTCACCTCGAGTTCGAAAGTAAGTTCTTTGGTTGCAGGTACTAGGTACTTAGCGGCGGTACCAGTGCCAGTGTGTATGATAGAAAAACTTCACCCGAGCAGTGGCCAATATCTGAAGGAAAGGAAGATAACATCGTAGACAGCGCGAGCGACATGCTGTTAGTGTCGGTGCACTAGAGGTTGGGACGTTACGACTTACAATGTACATTTCCGAGTAATGTTACTTCTCCGAGGTTTTAATACTCAGGAAAAAGGACACACTTCAGGCTCTTTACGAACATCTTGAAAGTTTTTGGTTTCACTAGTATTTTCAAGCCTTATCCGAGATGATCAGGAGAAATACAGGCAAAATCAACCGGAATGAACAAGGACAATGGATTAATGCAGCGGAGAGCTTTCTCCGAGGTTTCCTTACCAATACTTGAACTGCTGATGCGTGCTCGCCTGCTTATACGCGTTATCCGACCAAACGAAACAAAACATGCGATACCGGGAAACAAAACCGTTGCTGTGGACGGGCGTTGAACGGCCTAGTGTCGGAAGGCCTGAGCCTGCGGGTGCAGGAGGTGAGCCAGGAAGTAACTCCGCCAGTAGGCGGTCGGATGCGACCGTTGTCATTTGTGGGAGCCCGAACGCAAATCGTCCCGTAGGAGGCTCATCTGGCCACCTCTCCCCGGCTCTGTTCTCCTTCTTCCACCAGAAGCAACCAAAGTGTAATTCCAACAATTTTTGTTGACGGTCAGATTCTGCATTACTGTCGATGTCGTCATGACCAGGTACAGGTACTGAGGACTGAGGTAGATCTGCCGAAGTACTGACGGTGGTGACCAGGGCTTTTACGACTCCCTGGTGGTGACTGTCGGAGGCAATATTCTTCTGTGCCAGTTCCGCGGCTTAGCGGGAATCTTCGCGCCATCGCCCATCGGGTAAGATCTCATTATCTGGTCACCACCACCATGATTACGCCACCCTTGGCTTTGGCATGCCGTGACTGAGTGAGTCGCACAGTTTCAGCGGCCATATCCCGGGGGTCATGTAGATCTTGGACTTGTACCAGGGAGTCGTAAAATACGTATTTTACGACTCCCTGACTTGTACATTGTACATTCGTGTAGTTGGTGTTTAGCAAGAGTTCTGAGTAGATCTACACTACAACTACAAGGTTACATTTTACAGGTGTTTGTTACACTTACTGTAAGACATTGTTATTATAACGAGTCGCAAATTTAACGATTGTCCAAAATTCATAGGTTAGGGGAAGTTAAGGCAAAAATCAAATTTTCACCAGTTGTAGTCTTCGGGGTGCTGAGTCGAATGGTCGTGGTCCGAGGAAGCTGAGACGCTCCCTACTTTGATCCCAATCGAACTCGCGTACTTCCACCGAAACTGGGTGACTGCGCCCTACTAGATGGGGATTTGTACCAGGGAGTAGTACAATACCGGTATTGTACTACTCCCTGGTTTGTACTAGTACATTTTAGTGTCACAGGCACACGTCCGCACCGCGGTGCACCGCCATGCTCGCACATAGTCATTACACACACTGCAAGCACTAGTAACACAAACAGTTGAAAGAGAGCAGTGAATAGAATATTAGTATGAAGCACTACGACCACAAAGTTTACAGCCAATGGCTGAACAGACAGTGGAGAATCAGGACCGGACGCGTGCAGGGTTGCTACACAGTCACCATGGTCACAGTCAGTCATGACATTCAGCCAGCGCACTAGCACTACAGTCAGTGACGGCAGACTGACCATGGCCGTGAACAAAACAAAGCATAGAAAGTAAAAATCAACTATGGAACTGGGCCGGCGGGTGCGTGAGGAAGAAAAGCCAGAACATTTGTAGCAGTGTTAGGTGTGGTGATCCAGACAAGGCAGTAAGGCACTGTAGTCTTAGTGTAGATATGCTCCATGCACTCTCACCGCGGCTAGCCTTACCCCTGTCTTTTAAATATTAAAATTGGCAAATATCACAGGCACTAGCAACAGCAATCAGCAGTAGCATGAAGGAGGGACAAAAAATCAGAACCAGCCGGCTGTGGTGAAAACAGATTTACAAGGGAGGGGGCAGCATCAAGAGAATTGAAGAAAATATTTCTAGTATTTGCATGGCGCACGCAACTGAACCTTAGCATAGCGTTTGCTACGTCCGAGCAACAGCACTGCAGTATTACGGAGGAGGCCCAAAGAAAGTCAGATGGAAAGATGGTCGCCGCACTGTACTCAGTGTCAATTCTTGCCAATACTCGGGACAGGAGCTAGCATCACTTCGGTATTACATAATTATACCGGCAGACTCTACACTACCTTGATGGTACAAGCCTACTGACAGTACTGTATCTGGCCTCACAGAAGAGGCGGCACATGTGGCATTTCCAGATTGTAACGGAGTACGTTGAGGAAATCAGCGGCATGCTTTTCAGAGATGGCCCGTGCATCGAAGCAGTACGACATCGACACAACCGTCTGCACACCTCCAGCGGCGTTGGGCCGCAGCTGTGACGTACCAACAGCCAGAATGGATGCCTGTGGCGGGTTGATAATGGCTGTGAAGTTGGTGATACCAAACATTCCAAGGTTTGATACACTGGCAAGAAGAAGCACAAAGAAAGGCAGGAGAATGCACAAATCATCGCTCACACGCACAGCAACAAGGTTGAAATGTGCCATATCTTGTGACTTACAATACACAGTCGAATCATGTAGAACTGCAGGATTCTTCAGCCTTTTTAAAGGGGAAGTTAAGGCAAAAATCAAAATTTCACCAGTTGTAGTCTTCGGGGTGCTGAGTCGAATGGTCTTGGTCCGAGAAAGCTGAGACGCTCCCTTCCTACTTGAATCCCAATCGAACTCGCGCACTTCCACCGAAACTGGGTGACTGCGCCCTACGAGATGGGGATTTGTATGCAAAATGTCACTAAAAGCGCCATTTCCTTCTTATAAAAGCACGGATGACCGCGATTGGCCCATATGTTGTAGTCTTTTGGACGCTGAGTCAGTCAGGTTTTGGTCCGAAAAGGCTGCGATGCAGCGTTCCTCCTTTATTCCCAATCGAACATGGTTGAACAAGCGGTCACGTGCTCCTGGGTGCCCAAATCACCTGGTCACCACGCCAGCAGGCGACAACTTTCACACCAAGGTTCAACTCGAGTGACAGGACTGCACCCAAAAAAGGTCAAAACAGGCTGTAAGTTGTACCCTGCAGGCACGGTGACCAGGTGACTGGTGTACGCAGGAGCACGTGACCGCTTGTTCAACCATGTTCGATTGGGAATTAGGGGCGAACGCTGCATCGCAGCCTTTTCGGACCAAAACCAGTCGACTCAGCGTCCAAAAGACTACAATATATGGGCCAATCGCGGTCATCCGTGCTTTTATAAGAAGGAAATGGCGCTTTTAGTGACATTTTGCATACAAATCCCCATCTAGTAGGGCGCAGTCACCCAGTTTCGGTGGAAGTGCGCGAGTTCGATTGGGATTCAAGTAGGAAGGGAGCGTCTCAGCTTTCTCGGACCAAGACCATTCGACTCAGCACCCCGAAGACTACAACTGGTGAAATTTTGATTTTTGCCTTAACTTCCCCTTTAATGATTTATATTCAGGTATTTTGGGGTTGTATGGACAACCGGCCACTTGTTTTGTTCCTTAAGGCCGATTCACAATACAACTTCTTGCGACGCGACAAGCGACTTGCGACACATGCGACGAGCTGCGACAGCGACACATGGTTCACAATATTCTTCATGTTGGCGACATCCACATGCACAAGTAGTACTATGCACGTGCACTGCACGTGCACCCAGGGTCGAAACTGTACTCCATTTGTGTATGTCGCGTGTCGCATGTCGCAAAAGTTGAACTTTCCTCAACCTCTGCGACAGGTGCCTTGCGACAGTTTGCAACAGCTCGCGACAGGCAGTTTCTTGCCGCAACTGTCGCAAATCGCGTCGCAGAAAGTTGTATTGTGAATCGGCCTTTAGGGATCGTCCTCAAAGATCAATATTTTTAGAGAAGATATTTGTTCGTTTGGAGGGGGGGGGGGGGGGGCATGTTCGTCTCGTTTTTGTGGAAAAAATATCGAACTCTACCTATGGATGGGCACTGTGCAAACATGTAGTTTTTGACCTATACAAAGTGAAAGTCAACCTCGTGAACATAGCCATGGCAAGGTTGTGCGACCGTGGCAACGTTAACCTAGGTGTATGGTGATTTTAGAGTTGCAGCTGGTCACGTTTGATGAGGAGATTGCACTTGATTAAAAAGTATCGATCCTCTGCATAAACATGACTGTGTATTAGTCCATCAGCCAAGAACTCAGAAGTCGTCAAATTCAAGCACCCTGTTGCACTTAGAAATCGAATACTTGATTTTGGCCTCAATGGGGAGGTTAGGTACCCTGTACACCGAATCCGCAAATAAAAAGAGTAAACGACTTGCACGCTCTGTAGGGGGAAGCCGACAAAGTGACCATTTTTGGCATCTCATCGACAGCCATTGTTGTGCCCTAAACCCAATCTCCAATCAGTGCCATGCGCGTTTCAGGAATGAACTTTCAGATTTTTGTGAATTACGGGAAAAATCTTGCAAATCGAGAAGATTTGCAGTGTAAACCATTGCAGTTTCCGTATTACACGTGTGCCTGGATTCAAATTACAATAAAATTGTTGTTCGCCTAAACTAAAGTTGTAGAGTGTTGTTCCATTACACATCTCTTTCACTGTTCTATTTAATTGAGCATCCGAATACATACCTTCAGGAAGATTACAATGAGCTAGTATTGAACATCATCCACCTTCGGGTTTCCGAAGTGTGCACCCCGAGCCATGTCAAGCAGGTTTGAAGCGTAGTTTTTACTGTTTGACAAAAGTGTGATCTACGCTTCCACCCTGAATGGAATCACCCCGGGAAGGTCCTGATCCCTGGAAAAATAAGGAACGTGGAGAGCTAAAAGTAAGGAATCTGCGGCGATGGATGTTGTACATCGAGTGAATGCCCTGCAGTTCTCTTCTCCATTACGACCAACTAGCAAACGCCATGGCTCTGGATGCTGACAGCAAACAGTTGAAATAAAGGCAAGGCTGCTTTGAACATGTTGCAACCAGGTAGTAGTACAGTTACAGTTGTACTACTTCGAAGTACTATCTACCACATTCGAGATCACCCAAAGAATAAAGCGATTGAATTCAAAATCAAAAAAATTGTTGGGGATCGTCTGAAGCATATTCAAGCGAGGTACAGTCGGGCTTGATGACTGATCAAAGCCCTCGGGCTGGTCCCTTCAGTGGGCTTTGATCAGCCATGAATCCCTGTGTACCTCGCTTGATTATCTACTTGATACCATTGTAGTTGCAAACAAGTAACTACAACAATTGCAGTACAATAGCAAGAGTCCACTCTTGCCAATAGTCATGTAGTTTTTTGAATTAGTTATTTGAAAATGGTGAGCATCTTCATCTTCTTCCCGGTGCGCATGTACACATATTTTTTGAATCTGTACGTGCTCCAAGCCAACTCACCTCTGCTCAAATCGACGGCGATTTATTTCGCGATTTTAGGTCGATCGCCACGGAAAACCACACCAAACGTTGACAAAACTCCACGTTTTTCACTGAAGACGCATTGGATGTCCTGATAAAACGGATGGAAAACCTCGTAATGGCTGATGAAGAAGAAGAAATTTGTCGAACTTCCAAGGCGCACTGTAAAAGGAGTGCAAGAGTTTCGCCAGGGAAAGTAGGCAGGTTGGATTCAGTGATGCTTTTGCTGTCGATTGATGTCAGTTCCAGGTGTTCGATTTGTAAGTGCAACAGGGGACTCACTTTGGCACCACTGGCTGATGGACTATATGTTCGTTTTAAGGGGGGAGGGGGTCTGGGGAGAAATGAACACATATCGTCTCGAAAAAAATATCGATATTTATGGACGGCCCCTTTAATACACCCTTGCTACGGGTCAACTCCACTGTGTGCTGGGCAGTTCACATACCTGATAGAACCACCTTCGAATTCACTTGGCTGCAGAGTGCGGTCGCGGGCTTTACCTGCTAACGCCTACACACACAAAAAAAGAAGAAGAAACAGCACAGACCATACAAGTCCAAACTCAGCACACTACTTCATATTGTGTTTGAAGCAAGACAACTGACAGAGTAACTGAAGAAGACTGTGCTCTACAGGACAAAGGGAAACAGAAAAAAACTGACGGGCGAGTTGACAGGATCCAATGTGTCTG